TCCCTTAGATGTGGAAGGAGGAACTAAAGGGAAGCAGAGAATCTTTCTCACCAGTGAATGAAGTTTGGCGACACTTAATAAAGTAAGGATAGGTATCTCAGAAGTGTTCACACATTGATAAATGATGAGGCTTATAAGACACTTTATTTTTCATTTTCAGGGATACTTTTTAAATTGTGATAACATTTAACATTTAGTATAACTATGACCCATTCACTTCATAACTATTCTTGAAAGTAGCAAAAACACTCGTGCTTGGGTTGTTTACTTTTATAGAGATGGTATGACTAAGGTGTGGTTTAGAATTAAATGAAGCACAAATGAGGAGATGGTGGATTAGCACTTTACAATGAATAATTGTTAAAGTCTCCACAGGGCTGAAGTATCTTTTGTTATAGTAGAAACTCCCTCTCTGCCGCCCTCCCTTCCACCCTCATCCCTTTACTTCTTCCATCTTTTCTTTGTTTACATCCTTCCTCCTGCCCAAGGAAGTTCTATGTATTTCATTCTGAATATGTATTTCTCAAGTTTACTATGACTAGATATATATTTGGAACCAAATAATTTAGAAATACATCACAGTCCTTCTTTCATCTCTCCAAAATTTTTTTATTTTTCTAAATATATGTGAATTCATGTATTAATAAATTCATAAATATAACATTTGGGTTTAAAGTTGGTGAGATTTTAGGTTTCTTTAAGAATGCTCGTGCTGAAACATAGTAAATGAAACACACCTATATATTCTATAGTCAATGATAGTGAATACAGATGCTCTGTTTTAATGAATACAGACAAACACATAGCACAGGGAAGACACTAATGCTCAGAAACTGTGGCTCAAGTCACAGAATAAATTCTGATTTAATCTTGTCCACCTTATTTCCCCTAAACTTTAGAACCCTCTTCTAACATGTTTACAAAAGAAACTAAGTGAAATTTTGAACCACTTCAGTGCTAATATCTTGGACTCATCTCTCCTGAATGTAAACTAAATCATCAACATATCATTCATCTAGTAAGAATGAAATAAAAGAGAGAAAATTCATTTAATTTTGATTTCAGAAACTCTAAGACAAGACAAATTGAGATATTTAAGAACAACAAGAGAGCAACAGTTGGTGAGAGAAAAAGATTCTGAAGAGATTGTGGAAAGAAATTTTCTTATAAAATGAACCTTTTCCTGGTAAATGATAATCTTAGATAAAATGATGTTATAAAATTTAATATATGGGACAGTTAAAAGATATTATATAATTTATTATTTAGATTATAATTTATTATTATTTTAATAACTGTATATTTGTATGCATTATATTTTAAAGCAATTGTGTATATTGATGCATGCTGCTCATCCTTCTGATAGCTTTGAGAGCTATATCATGTCACAATTAGTAAAGACATCCTATTATCTGTAGGCAAATTGGTGCAATAACTAACTTTGCTCCTAAAATGAATGTGAAGAATATAATGGGCAAAAACAATGGTGGATCTAGGGTCATCCCATGGTCACGTTGCAAGGACACCCTCAGGAGACAGTGGCTATGATTTCTGCTGTGCGCACATAGCTGAATCAGGAACATATCACTCACTTTTAAATATATGCCTGTTTGAGCAAAGAGGTAATGAAATAGTTAAGGAAAAATATATAGAAAAAGGGTTGGTTCCTATATGAGAATATGGATTTGAAACCAAAGAGCACTGGAAGTGTGAAAGGTCTACCATGTCGTCATTCATAGAAAGATGATAACAAATCAAAATAATCAATGTGAGGTAACTTAAGTGAGCTCATTTTTTTCCATGTTTGGCAATCTGGTGAATGGGCTGCAAGCTTCAACTCTTTTCAGAATTTAAAGGAAATCTGATTTAGTGGTTTTTGACCTTGGTGTTTAATTTTAAATGTTTTTCTAAAATCACATGTTTATTACAAATAAAGTCTATACTTTTAGGTCTTCGTCTGTATTATAGAATATATTTTAAATATTTATAAATTAGCTTTTACCTTTCTGCTTAACTGTTAAATTTCCTCATGTCTGATGTATTCTTATTTTTAGTATATTTATAGTATCATGTGATAGTTATTTGTTTTATTTTTGTTTTGTGGGGGGAGATACTAATTTGTAATGGTCTTGTTTACATATCATATTCTCTGTGGATATTCTAGTTATTTCTCATCTTCCAAAATTATGATACTATATTATATTCTGTCGTAAAATTCCCTCATCTTACTTTTATAATAAGTTTTGGTGCTAGAGTGCTACCTCAAATTTATGAACATGCTTAGGTTTTTACTGTTATTTTCTAAGGTTTGTTTGAAAGCATTTCATGGCTGAAGCAGTGTCATTGTAATTGTAAATGACCATAATAAGGTATTTTTCTTTTGAATTTTTCTACTTTTTATCTCAGTTTAGATGTGCATATATTGTTTAAATAATGTGGGCCTCACTATAAGTTCCTTTTGAAATATTGTTTGCAGAATATTAGGATTAAAAACTATGGGTTTTCCTGACTGTGCTTGCATAAATTTATAATCCCAGGATTTGGAGGTGAAGGCAGGACTATCAAGAGTTCAAAGTCATCCTAGTCTACATTGTGTGTTTGAGTCCAATCTTGACTACATTAGATCTTGATGACTCCCTCTAAAATAAGAACTAACCACTTGGTTTTCATGAATCACAAATCTTGAGGTATAGTAGTGTAAATTTGCAAAATTCACTATTAAAAAAAAGATGTTGTGTTATCTACTTTAAAATATATTTTTGAGAAGTTCATGGGTATAAATAGTGTTTTATATTTAATATTTATTCACTCTAATTTTAGATTAACAAAAGGAGAGTAGAACCATAGACTCCAAAATATCAGGGACAAATATTTACTTCATATTGCCATACTGCTTAACTGTGCATGCCTTTGACAAGATAATGAAATATATACAGAAATTTTGTCTCATCCAAATGACAGATTCTATTCATATTTAGATTTATTTTCAATATTGTCCTTCTTATGTCATATATTTAAATTTAGGCTACTTCTGTGCTTAGATCAGTTATTTTCTGTATTATATCAAATCATAACCATTTGATCATAAATCATGATTACAGCATAGTCTCCAGTATGCCTATTTTAACACAAATGTTGGAAGTTGCTTTACTATAAAAATGATGATATCATTTTGTTGGTGTAAATAGGCATCCCAGCTAGAATATCAAGAGATTTATTTAAGCTTAAAATTAATGTTTGGTTTTGTTTTATTTGGGGTTTCTCATTCATTTTGATTTTCTTCATCCAAATAGACTGTCTGAGTCAGAACTCACTATGAATTAGTTTGAAAGCCTTAATATGTTTATGAGAGTTCAGAGGTATATCTTCTCTGATATAACTGTGAGATAAAATCTCACAGAGAACTTTGAATTTCATCAGATCTTACAATCTTTCTGCCTTCTAGGCCTCCTCAACAGGAGAGAAATCATGCTGGGTAACAGAACCAAGCCAACTATTTGGGGATTTTAGAGGAGATTCTACAACCACCACTTTTCTAACTGCATTCCTAATATTTGTCCTTACGCCCATAGATCAGTAGAGTTCTCATCCTTAATCAAGGAAATGTCTCCTTGAAACAGATGAAGACCTTAACAGAAAATTATACATATTATGAAGCTGATATTATCTGGAGAAAACGAATGCAAGCACTAGAATATTTACATAGACAATTCATGGAATATTTCCATGGGTAAAGCAGCTGGCATTAATAATTAATCATGTACTGGCAATTAGCATGAGTAACATTTTAATATTTTAAATTTTAACTTTAACACCATAATCTTTGGAGAAGTACAGGTAAGCTGTTTATGAACATGTCTTATACCAAGTTCATATAAATTTAAATCCATTTATCTCAGAGAATTATGTTTTCTTGGGAAGGTTGTATTGTATTAATAATTGCAAATAATTGAGTCTCAAGGGCCTAAATTATAATCAACAAGTATTTTTCTTCTTCAGCTATGTGTTACTACTAGTTTTCACATGAAAGTGATTGATTGATCAACTGATTTTGATTATTAATTATTTTCTCTCTTGGCTTAATCAAAATAACTCATTAGCACATGAACCAATTAATAAGATTCATTAAATTTCATTGAAAGTGGACGGTAGTAATGACTCTGAAGTTCTCACTGAGAAAATAAAGTCCCATCATCAATCTGCTAAGATTGTTTCTGGAGATCTCATATATTCAAGTCAATGTCTTCAAAAACCACAGGTTATTCATCTTTTGTTTGCTTGATCTCTACCTCTTTATTTTAACTTTATTATAATGAAACAGAATCAATCACCTTTACCTCAAACTATTGATTGACAAGGAGTCTTAAGTAGTAGGTTTTTTTTGTTAGTTTGTCTTTGTTACTGTTTTCATACTAATTTTATTTAGTTATCATGACAGCAACATAGTTAAAAAACTGCTCACATTTTAAAGTTCAGTTAAAAGAAAATTTTCACCATGTTCAACTGATGCATCTTGTGTAGTGCTGTGCATTTCTCAAAGAAATTTTTGTTCCAGGATGAATAGATTAATTCATTTGAAGTTCCAATATATTTTGTCCACTTAAACTTTCTAAGTATCCAGGATTTTCAGTTGCTCCCAAAGTATATTTTGCCGCTTTATTGATATCATAGTTTAGACTGCTTACCAATTAATCATCACAAACTGTTTATACTGCAGTTGTCAAACATAATTAGAAAACCTGACCTATGGTAATATCTAGAAAATAATTTCAAATTTCTCTTTGTTGTTTTACTCCAAGAATTCCCTATAGATTAATAAAATTTAACCATAAAAATTGAAACTATTACTCATCTGTAGCACAGGGAAATATTTAAATTGCCAGTATTCAAAATTGTAACTATTTTAAGGCTTTTAAAATTTTATCTCTACCACAATTCTAAGTACTATAAAATGATATTGTTCCAAAATTTCTAATAAGTTCTCATTATTTCAGATTTCAAGAACATATTTTTCATTTCCCATCTTCTTGAGAATCATGCAAAATCAGAGCTTTGTCACAGAGTTCATACTCCTGGGGCTTTCTCAAAACCCCAAAGTTGAGAAAATATTATTTGTTTTATTTTTGTTGGTCTATGTTGTAACAATTGGAGGTAACATGATAATTGTGGTGACAATCATCTATAGCCCTGCACTTCTGGGATCTCCCATGTACTTCTTCTTGGCATTCCTGTCCTTGCTGGATGCATGCACTTCTACTACTGTCACACCCAAGATGATTATAGACTTCTTCTATGAGAGGAAGACCATTTCATTTGAATGTTGCATGACACAATTGTTTACTAGCCACTTCTTTGCAGGAGTGGAGGTGATTGTTTTGACAGCCATGGCCTATGACCGCTATGTAGCCATTTGCAAGCCTCTTTATTATTCTTCCATCATGACCCGAAGGCTCTGTGGCACTCTTGTGGGGGTGGCCTGGACAGGAGGCTTCTTACATTCTATCACACAGGTTATCTTCACTTTGCAGCTGCCCTTCTGTGGACCCAATTTTATCGATCATTTCATATGTGACTTATTCCCATTACTGCAGCTTGCCTGCACTGACACACACATTTTTGTCATTTTGGTGTTTGCTAACAGTGGGTCTTTCTGCATCATTATCTTCTCCTTGTTGATTGTATCCTATGGTGTCATCCTCTTCTCTCTAAGAGGCTACAGCTCTGAAGGACGAAGTAAAGCTCTCTCTACTTGTGGATCCCATATTACTGTTGTGATTTTGTTCTTTGTCCCATGCATATTAATATATGCCCGGCCTTCATCTGCCTTTTCCTTTGAGAAAAACACACTTATATTTGCCTCTGTTTTGACACCATTGCTTAATCCTATGGTTTACACTTTCAGGAACAAGGAAATGAAGAATGCCTTCAAGAAAATGTGTAGGAGATTGATAGTGGCTTCTGATAAATATTAAAATATTACACTTTTCCCTGCTGGGCAAATGGTTCAGTGGGGAAGATATCTTTCTACACACACATGAGATCCTGAATCCCAGCACTCACTTCATAAGGCAGGTACATCAGGGTATCCTTATACTGTTGCTAATAAATATGCAATTTGTGTATTTCAAAGACTCAGTCAGCTGTTCACCTAGTAAGGAATCGGAGTGTTCAAGATTCAGTGGTGACTTGTCTCAAGGTAATTAGGTACATGTCTGTAGATTGATATAATCCCTCTTTTTCTATATTCATGTGTAGAGGCATAAAAATTCCACATCACATGTGTACACATATTTTTATAGTACCTACACGTAGACACAGAGACAAACACAAAAAAAAACAAAAAGTGCACTTAAAACAACTGAGCAATTAGGAAGTCACTCTTAGATAAACACTTCATGATTTTTTCATTATAGAATATCAAGTGACAACATTCAATAGTGAGTGCATCAATTCACTAACAAATATTTTCACTTGAAAATTAATGCCTGTATAATTTTATGCTCTAGTAATTCCAGTGATATATTGGGAGAGACTTAACTATTAGAATGTCAGCCATCAATCCTATGTTATATTTAAAAATTGGTTGAAGGAGTGGGAGTGATGGCCAAGAACTTAAGAGTACGTGCTGCATTTAATTCCCACCCTCCAATGGTGGGTCACAACTGTCTATACTTATGTTTCAGAGCATCTAACATTCTCCTCTGACATCTATAGGCAGCAGTCACCCATGTGGTCAACAGAGGTAAAACAGAACTACATATAAAATAACTAATTGACAATTATAAATATGTATTTGACATTAAAAACACTGAAATAATTTTAAGAAAAAATAGATTTTTAAGGAACATTGCAAGACATGAAACCTTCAAATACAGAGAGGGGATGACAAGCAGACCCAAACATTATTTATGCCTGTATCATTTGACTTTATTTTTAATGTGGGTTCATTTACATCTGTGAAAATTTTAAAGTAGCTCTTGAATTTCTTGACAAAGTATTACTAGATGCACCAGAACTTCCTTTGGGTGAGATGACTACCAACCATGTGATGATTCCTGTACCTAGCTCCATAGGGTAATATTCATAACCACCTTCTGTGCCAGCATAAGGAATGGCAGGTGTTAGACATCACTTTGTGGGCAGGAGCAGGCCTAAGATGTTGACTTAGTCTGTTCATGTCACCCACACTTTACACAGGGAAAAGAACCAAGAGTAACTAGATTTAAAATAAGATCATAAAATACTAATATATTTCAATTTAATCTACTTATCAATAGTGGTCACCAAAATTAACACGTCATGTTTCACTTAATGGTTGTTTTGTTAAATTCAGAATGCCAAATAGAATATGCAGGAAATTAAAGTTGCACACTTTCCCTCTCATAACTAAGAACAGTAGCAGATGGGTTGATTTTATTAGAAAAACTAGCAAATACTTACATTGTATCTGTTTCTCCTTAATTTTAGATAACAAAGAAAATATACAAGAGCTTGCAAAAGATACATGAGATTATATGATTGTATGATTCACTTTTCCGTGTGAAAGTGAATGAAGAATTACAATTTGGGTTAAAACAGTATCTTGACAACCTGGTTAGATAACATTGAACCAAACATAATAAAAACATAAGTGTGCTAAAGAGATTTGTCCACATCTCCGTGTCAGTCCTGTGTCTAACATGACTTATGACTTGCTGAAAATATCATATTAGTCTTGCCCCAAATATTCTTACTTTTTCATGTGGGTCTTGAATCACCCTCACAGTCTCACACCCTCTGTCATCCCCTAGCTATTCTTTCATTTGTCTCTTATTTTAAAAACACAATATTTTTTCCTTTTCATTCTGGAAATTCAATAAATATAAAAACTGTAAAATTCATAGCACCAACCGCAGTAAATATACAAAATGAAATAAAATTTTGGTGAGAGATGGCAATGTTTGTGAATCTGAGTTAAGAACCCTAACACCCATGTAAAAACAGAAGAATAATACAGCATGCTTCTAATCCTGCCATAGGGGAGATGGAATTAAAGATGAATGGAGTTAACCAGCCAGTGAATCAATGCAAATAGTTGAGTCCTCAGTTCAGTAAAGAACCTGCAACAATTATTATGGAAAGAGGTAAAGCAAGGCATGCTGGTTGACCATCTGCCTCTAAGTGCATGCTTATGTACACACACACACACACACACACACACACACACACACACACACACACACACCACCATGGATATGCCACCTCATCCATATGCAAACATAAAATTAATTAATTAAACTTGATTATCTATGATGATGATGATAAGAAATAGATGTAAGATGTGAGTGTGCAGGAAATGGGAAAAATTAAATCAAGTTGTAATGGAAATCAGAAGAAAGGTGCTATAATACACAAGTATATTAATGGCAAACCATTAGTATCTCAGGCAACAAGCCATCCAGGAAATCTTGGAAAGAAGCATTCCTCGTGACTGAAGGCTATTGAGACAGTATTTAAAATTTAGTATTTTCATTTGGGAAATTCTTAAATTTATAAATATGAACCAAAGGATGAACGACACCAAGGAAACTGTATCTTCCAGACACAATAGAACTGATGTGTATATGAACTCACAGAGACAGTGTCCGCATGGATAGGGCCTGCACAGATTAAAGCTAGAAAGTTCACAGAACTGAGATGAGAAAGTGGATATGTGCTCTCATCCTCAATCAAGATGCTCTCTCCAAATGACATCTTGCAAAGAAAACTTATCTTTTCAAATTGCAGTCCCATGGGATAGAATAACCTCACTTAGCAGTAGACTCCATGCTCAGCAATAGATGACCAACATAAAATGAATTCATAGAAAATTTTGTAGACTACTTTTCACATATTGCTATGTTGGTGATTTTTTCTGACTGACCTTTTACTAGTCTATTATGGTTTCCATTTTTATGTTTTTATAGTTTATGTGTGTGCTTCTCTGCATTGTTTATGTTTTATCCTGTGTTTTGTTTGTTTGCCTCTTTATTTTCTAAACAGAGAGAAGATGTGGTAGAGTTGGGTGAATGAGAGAGTGAGGAGGGTTTGGAAAGACCACAATCAGAATATATTATATGAATAATACATTGTATGTACTATAATAAATATTCTAAGTGTAATAATATATTGTATGGAAAAGATAGTTTCAATAAAAATTCATTCATAAAACATAAATATAGTTCTAATATCTAGCCCAATGAATTATCATAGTATTAGTCATGTCATTCTGTACTTCTAAAAATATGGGTAACAGAGAATTAAACAAAACAGGACAAAGTGTAAATACAGTATGTTCAATTCTGGAACTTAAATTTCATATTTGAAACTTAAGGTTAGGGATGGAAATCTTTGAATCAAACTGTGACAGTTATTTAACAAATGTCAGCTGACATGAGGTATAATTCATGTAAGGAGATTTACTTGTGTTAAAACAAATAGTAAATCTTAAATTAAAATGATCCTTGTTTCTTGAATTTATTAGCTCTAGAAGTCTGGCATTTTTCTGCATACCATAATTCATAGGGTTTTTATATGACTTACTTTAAATGTGAATTTTTATGTGTGTGAATAATTATAAGATGATTAAGAATCAATACTTTGCATTGCATAATACAAAAAAAAAGTTGGTGCTTTCCCTATGTAACAGAGTTTAAAAAGCAACTTCAAAGATTTTGCTCAAGCCCTAGGCTCATGTTCATGCTGTGTGGCATTAAATATCTCCCATACTGTCTTTCAGATGCCATGAAAGGAAAATAACTTAAAGTGCAACAAACTGTAATTTTAGTTTTAATTAATATTGCTGCTAGTTCCAGTCTAGACCTGCCTACACAATGAAACTTCACACACAGACACACACACACACACACACACACACACACACACACTTTATAGTTATCACAATAAAAAATTTCTGAAAGAAGCAGACAAGTTGGTTGAAGCATTTCCATTAGGAGTATGCCAAGGGCATCCACTGTCTTTTCTATTCTGTATAGTACTTGAAAGCTTAGATAAAGCAGTAAGGTAAAGAAAGGAAATAAAAGAGGTACTACGATGGATAATGTTGGTGATTAACTTGACATGATGGAATCACCAAGAAGATATCTATGAGTAATTATGTTGTTTATGTTAGCCTATAGTCATACCTATGAAGTTTTTTCTTGACTACTTTAGTTGAAATGGGAAGATCAATCTTAAAAACAGAAAGACTTGGGGAGGGGAAGATGACAGAATAGAGTGTCATGTGTCAGAGAGAAATGGAGCTAGAATTGTGGTAACATTATTCAATGTGGTGAGGAAAGCACAGGTCTATGGCATTATCCACAGGTTGCAGAACCAATGGCTCTGCCCATGGTCCTGGCAGGCACTGAGGGCAGGTTAGTATATATCATCCTAAGACTTGTGCAGGTTCCATCCCCAAATACACTACCCAACTGCACAATCACCCTAACCCTGAACAGCAACAAGATACCTGAGATTAAGAATTGCTCATTCTTATGGGTCAACTCTCCTCAAAAGACTCCTGTGATCTGGAAAACCATGTTGATGCCCACAACTCATGCTGCTGCTGGAAATCACATTACTGTCCATTGTTAGATCCTTAAGGAGCAAAAGTGGCCAGGCCCCTCCCCTTGAGGACATCCAACCACTAGGTTCATAACGGAACACTCAACTGCCCTGATGGCTGTACCTAGCCTCTACTGCAAAGAGTAAAATACCCAAACTTTAAACTTTAAACCACACTAATCCATACCCTAGCAAGCTTTGCCCACCCTACAAAATATTCATGTTACATAAACACTGTCTTCTGCTCAGTTCTCTGCTGTTTCTTGCCTGAGCAGAGGCATCCACCCTCCTGGGTTTTCTCTCTCATAAATCTCTTGTGTGAAATTGTTATGCATTGTGACTTTGTGGTATTCCTTGGCTTCTAATAACCAGGTTATTTTACCCTTCAGAGCTGGAAAACTTTAGGGAAATCTTCCATGGCAGGAGCAGAACTGT